GAATAATGCCTTATAAGTTCAAAAGCAGCTATTATTTTGAAAAACTTAAATGTCTTAGGTTTTGTTTGGATTTCATATTTAAGAAGGAAAGAGACGAGAAAGGAGAGATTAGTAATCACTAAACCTTATTTGAAAGTTAATTAAATATAAAGAAAATATTTTAAAAAAATTTCTAAACATCTCAAAACTCTCCTAACCTGTATTTTATGAGTTCTCTTATCTTGGGAAGTTTTAATGGCTCGTATATTGATGTTTATTATTTATATTTTTAATTGTTAAATTAAATATTTAGAATGTCTATTTTTATTTATTAGATTAAATATTTAGGATAGTCTAAAATATAATAATAAATAAATTAAAAATAAAACAATATTTATTTTAAAAAATATTAGTTTTTAGAGTGAGAAATTTTTTTAAAATTATAAAAAATAAAAACATTTTTTTAAAATATTAATTTTAGAGAGACATTTATTTAATTTTTATATTTTTTAAAAAATAAAAAAATAATAATGTTATTTATATATTAAACTCTAACTTACTTTTTTAATATTAAGTAAGGAAGATGTTTAATTTTTTTTTCCTCTCCTTTCTCTTTTCTTTTTAAGCTCTTTAAATCTTTTCTTTTCCTTTTTTTTCAAACTTCCAATCAAAGCTTATGATTTAGAGTTTATAGGATATATCATGTTAAAAGAAAATAACATTTACTTTTTATCAAATATAATTAGTATACTTTATAATCAATTATCTTGATAAATCTTAATATAATAAATGTAGGTATTTTACTTTTAAATATTACCGTATCATATTATTCAGTGATAAGGAAAAAAATTCAAATTCGAAATACAAGTTTCTCCTGAAATGATACATCTGCCATCCTGCATGTTGAAAAGCATCAACATATCTATAATAAGTAAAGAATAAGAGCTGGCCGGTGGGAAATGGGTATCCATTGTTTGTGGCTTTTATGAGAGAATAATTTAGTTTTTTTGAGTCGAGAATCTTACCTTTACACCCTTTTATTTAATTGTTTGATTTCTTGGGCTGAAATTTTCTTCCTGTGACATGGAATGTACAATAAAAGCTTTTGTGCTCAAACATTGATCATGCGTCTTATCATTAATTTGCCTAAGATCAACACAGTTATTAGTTCCAAAATATTCTTATGAGAGATAACTCTCACTTTTTATGTACAAGTGAAGATTTTGTGTCAATGTTATCTACACTAACAGCAACCCCATGAATATGTACAAGTGGAAAGTGGAGTATACAGAAAGGATATTTTAACACGGTAAATCTAAAACTTCTTAAATTCAATCTAAACATTTCATTTAATTTATATTTAACAGTCACAGTATATTAATAAATTATAACATGTTAAATTTAAGTTAAATGAAAGGTTTCGATAAGTATAAATATATATATATATATATATGATATATAATTAATCTCCCGATACGTTACTTCTAATATAAAGAAAATGTTTGTTAAACATGTTTAAAAAAATAATAGCATATTTCATATATAATCATACACAATTTTATGTTATGTGTAATTAAAATGAAATTTTCTATTTTTCATTAAATATAAGTACGTGTACTATTTAGAATAAAAATATATACATAACTGTTATTAGGGTGTATATATATTTATGTCTTTAAAAGTGATAATATGTCCTGATTTGGCTTGAGTTTTTTTTTTTTTATCAAAATAATGCTATTTCAAAAGTTATTGATTTAAATAACGCCGTATGAAAAACAATTATCAATTTAAGTTAATTTAAGCATAATTATTTTTAAGTTAGACAAAGTTAAAAAGCGTCAAACACCAGAATGCAACAAAGCACGTTATGGTATGTAGAGTTTCGTAATTTGATTTGTGAAGCTAATTGTGTTGATATACATATTCATATATATTTTTATTTTAAAATTAAATATATTTTATATTTTAGTTTTTTTATTTTTTATTGTTTATTTTTGTATTTTACAAAATTAACTTCTGTTGTGATCATATTCTTACTTTAATGAAAAATGAGTATTCATATGCGCTGACATTGATTTGGAAGACAGTTTAATAATGTAACGTATTTTAAATGCATTTAGTTATGAACTCCGAGGAATTATGAATGCACTGCTAAGTATTCTAACATACCATATTATAAGAATAAATAATTTAAATGCATTTAGTTTAATATTACTTCTCCCTTTTCTCTCTTCCAACCAAATAATTTAACTTATTTCGAAAGGTGTAATAAGTATAAAAACATATGTAAACTATAAAAAAGTAAAAAGTGAGTTACTCTCACAGATTTTCTTAGAAGACCCCTGTTAAAGAAAAGATTATGGCCCTCAATTAATATAAAATCTTTTACAAAGAGTATTTATTATTTTCTTTAATATTTATCTTTCATAAATATTAAAAAAAATTAACTTCTTAATTGTAACCAAAATAAATTAAAAAAATTATCAACAATTAAAATAATAATAGAGTTTAACTTTAAATAGAATAATTCTAAATTATATATCTTCCTTTTTATGCTTACAAATTCTCTTAAATACTAAATGAAAAAAGTAATAATCTTTTTTAAATATTTTCAAGATAATAAATGATATAATTTTTTACTTAATACTATTATAAAGTAGGAGAAGAACTATTGAAAAAAAATTATAGGACATAATAACGCTCAAATAGAGATAAACATAGTGTTGTAATCAAATTTTTGAAAATCAATATATTAACTAATTAAAAATAAATATAATTTAGTTGAAAAAGAGGTTATAAATTAAATTGAAAAGAGTACAAGAGGGTGTGTGCGTGGATTCACAAGAGAATATGGAATCTGTGGTGGAATAATCAACACGTACGTAGGTTTATTGTGTCTCTCATGTCCTGCATTGCTTCAAGTCGTAGCTATATATCTCTTTATATACTCTTTCATTTCCATAGTTAATTTTGGATAGTGCAGAGGGAAGGGCCTTCAGACGAACAACACGTGCACGTATCGCTACACTGGTGTCGGTGTGTGATTCAGCTTCACTTTTCTATAAAAGAACAAAAAAATAAACTTTTGGAGATAATTTTAATGCATAGAATAATTCATTTGTGTACTTAGTATAGTCTTCAAATGAAGAGGGAATTTGAAAGGAGTGAGAAGAGAAGGGAAAGAAAGAAAGAAAGAAAAAGTGAGAGAGAAAAAAAAATTACTATTATATATTTGACATTATTGAATATACATATTAAATTAAGAATAATTTTGCTATATTAGTCTAAAATCTTTTTTTTTTCCCTTCAAAATCTCTGACTTTTATATGATAGTCAAAGTTGAGTTAGAAGAGATTTTAGCTCCTCTTCTTCCTGTCAAAATATTGAATCACATTAAAAGAGTTACAAAAATTCCTTTTATCCCTTCCTTTTAGCTCCACTTCTTTCTAACTAGAAAATATGTTAATGTTTATTTATTGTTTTGCTTAGACAACATACTATAATAGTCCATTAACATTTTTTAGATGGCAGCCCTAAATCTTAAGTGACGTACAAAAATAGATTATTTCTTGTTGGATGCTTCTTCTTTTTTTCTCTCCTCTCCTTCATTATTTTCTCAGGTAATGGTTATTAAGACTTAATCACATTGACCTCATAATTGTAGAACTAATATGTACTATAGTGCTAGGCTTAGGAAACAAGTTTGAAATTAAGTCACACACTAGAGGTTGTTACTGCATTCTTACCACACTTTCTTTCTTTCTTCTGTCTTACAATACAACCCTAACCACTCCTCTCCACGAGCTACAAATTAAATGTTTTAAATCAAATGCAAGTATAAAGGAATCAAAGTACACTCACTCACTAGTAACTAGTTTTTCCTCTTGTCATATGGTCCTAATTGCTTAGGATTCGTCAAGGCAAAGCCGGCAGCATGGATATTTCTACGTCTTTTTTTTCCTAAGTTTTATTCTCTATTGGTCACATAAGCATCAAACATACCAGACAAGACAAAACAGAATGTGTTCTTATTCTATTCCTTTCTTTTAAAAAAAATCAAAGGATTTGAAGAAGAGCATCTTTCCATTATTATTCCTTTTCTTTAATGTATCTTCAAGATATCTATTCCTAAGTTTTTTAATTAAAAGATTATTAATTGTTTTCTATATTTTCCAAATATAACTAATTTTACATTTTTTTTGTCTCTAGTTTATACAATTGATTGAAATTACCTTCTCTTTTTTGTCTACTTTCCTATCCTCAAATTGAAAAGTGACACACGACTAAAATTATTCTCTCTTTCTTAAAAACAAAATAAGAAAATGTAATATTCTTTCTCTTAGTTGTTATTATTTCATTGATGCATTATTTTATATTAAAGGAACAAGTCACAAGTAATTTGATTCTTTCTTCTACAGCCTCCAAGGTAGTTACATTCAGCCAACCCCTCATTGGCATTATTGATGATATTACTAGGTAAAATCATCTACCCTAAATTGTCTCAAATACCTATGTGAGTGAAAAGGACTAAGGAGTTCCAAGCCAAGAATATTTCTTGAAAAACATAGGGGGAGAAGTGTGGTTTCTGATGCTTTCAAGGAAAAAGGAAAAGTTGATTCTATAATTCAAGTCACAGAATTCTCCCCTAAACTTTTGGAATAGGATTCTCCCATTTGCCAGTGGGACAAAAACAAATGCAAGTGCATACTGATATAAATTGATGGGTCAATTTTGATACCAAATGCAACGTGTGAGGTGAGGTGTCTCAGAATGTATAATGCACACAATTCTAATGGACAAATGCTCTCTCAGAATCAAAAGTAGAAGTGAATAGAGCCCACATTGAAGAAAGTAGGAAGAATGACATCTTTTAGAGTAGCTCTGAAATGTATTGGATCAAGTTCAGCTTTGAGTTGCTATTGTCCAAGATTCTATGCCTCACAAGGACCCTTTCTTGAGGACATTTTCTTTATAAGGACATCTTTGAGTACAACTAAGGCTTGTGAAGATCTTGTCAAGGAGAAAAAATACATTCAAAGAGAAGTTGTAGAAACTTGAACATATATGAGTTGATAAACCAAGCGCTCTTGAAGAATACAGGACCATCAAATTTCACTTTATAAGGGTAGCTGCTTGGATCCAGAAGGAGTAGTAGTACTTAACAGGTAAACAGATAAATTTGAACATAATAATAATATCTTGAGGGCGAGCCTCGAGGTCAAATCCTCACTAGGTGGGAGACTTGTGCAAGGGGTTTCCCTTTTAGTATTATCTTGCACATCTACCTAGAATAATGAGATCATTTTGTTTCCAGGAAAGAAAATGTACTATCAGCAGCAGCAGCAAGCTAAGAACATGCATGCTTTGAGGATGCACAGTCCTACTGAGAGGCATATGATGATGCAAGGAGGCAATGGAACAGGTGATTCAGGACTTGTTCTCTCAACTGATGCAAAGCCTAGACTAAAATGGACACCAGATCTTCATGAACGGTTCATAGAAGCAGTTAATCAACTTGGAGGAGCAGACAGTGAGTCTATGCAAATCATAAACAGATCATGATTCAGAAAATGATCATTTTGAGGCTGATTTTGACTACTTTTGCTATGCAGAAGCTACACCAAAAACAGTATTGAAACTGATGGGAATTCCTGGACTTACTCTTTACCACTTAAAGAGCCATCTACAGGTAACGTTATTTGAATTATCAGTATATAAGTTAATGTTTATTTAGTTTTGACTATTTAGTTAAATTATCAGTATATAAAGAATAATGTTATGTAGAGACTGCAATTCAATTAATGAAGGAGCACAACTAAACACATTATGATTTTAGTCACTTATAATTAGTTGTGTTGGCTTTTTTATGTTCCTCCAAAGCATAAAAACAAAATCAATATTTTATATCTTGTCCTAAACATATGTTAGTTCTATACTGGACTTGCTCACTGCTTTCTTTCAACTGGTAAACCAATCAGCTTTTGTTACAAAAGAAATTTTTAATGTGATCAAAACCTCATTAACTACACTAGCATTCATTGGGGATAGACTGTTGAAATATCTGTATTATTAGTCTTGTGGGTGCATATATATTTTATATGTTTAGTTGTTAATTTCTCTTTCCGGACAGCAGAAGTACAGGATCAGTAAAAATATGCATGGACAAACCAACACTGGCAACAATAAAATAGGTGAGTGAACATCTTTTTTATCGTGATTTTTATGTATTTCATAAGCAGGTTTTGAACCACACAGAACGTATCTTTTACCAAGAATACAATTTGAAAAATAATTTATCTTAACAGCATCAACCACAGAAGCAGCAGGGAGAATGTTAGAAACAAGTGGAATTCAAATGAAACATTTAAGCATAGGCCTGCAGACAAACAAGTAAGAACACTTTCCAGTGGCCATCATTTTGTTCTGTCATCAAGTTTCCGTTGTTCAAAAGAATTTTCCGTAATGGGAGCCAATACTAACTAGGATCAGTCCTTAATCCAGAAATTCAGAAATAAATGAGGCATTGCAAATGCAAATTGAAGTACAAAGAAGACTACATGAGCAGCTTGAGGTATAGGGCATCTTTGAACTTCAAACTTAAATCGAATGCATATCAATACATTAGTAAATAAACCAACAATCATTTATGACCACTGCTGCTTTGAATGTAAAATTTTAGGCAAAAGTAAAACTTTAAATTATACTCACACAAAACTAATATACTGTTTTCTATGTGTTGTTAGTGTTGCTTACCAAAAAAAATTAGGGTTTAATTTTAATCAAAGATTTGTATTGAATGTTATCGCAGATTACCGAGATAAAACTCCGCACCAAGAGCACCTAAGCACCTAAGGAACTGCACTTTAGTTTCTTCCAATTAAACTAACATTACCTACATTATGAAAGATGATAATTCATGAATCTCCCACACTTTCCATAATATCAGTGTATTTGGCATGATAACAATAATTTTATCAGAATAACTGTTTAGCGCAACCAATGGATTCATATATAAAACTCATTGTTTGCTTGACCTCGCTATTAAACTTTTACTATTTCCTAAAATATTTTCACAATTTGGCTTTCAGTATACAAGTTTAGATCATTGATTTATCACTTTCAGTATACTCACTTTGATCTACATTGAAGTTTGTAAGGTGTTATAGGTGCTTCTGTTCTGATTTTTTTCTTTTTTTTTTTTCACTCTTTAAGCAGGTACAGAGACATTTACAACTAAGGATAGAGGCTCAAGGGAAGTACCTTCAGGCAGTGCTAGAAAAAGCTCAAGAGACTCTAGGAAGACAAAATTTAGGTAGTGAGGGTCTTGAAGCTGCCAAGGTTCAACTCTCTGAACTGGCATCAAGAGTATCCTCTCAATGCCTTGACTCTAAATATCAAGAACTGAAAGAATTGCAGGTTTTGTGGCCTCAGCAAACACAAGATGGCCAAGCCACTGATTGTTCAATGGGTAGTTTCTTAGCCTACAGTGAAGAATCTCAAAGAGACCAAGAAACACATAACAAGGGGCTGAACTTGAGAGCCTATAATGGCCTTCCTTTTTCAGTTTCAAAAGAATGTGTAGAAGAGTCTATGCATTTAAAGCCTGATCTCACATTGTGTGAAGAAGTGAAGGAGGATGTCATGTTTCTTTCCTCATCAAGTGATCATAATAAAATAGTAAAGGGAAATTTTTTACCAGAAAGGACTTCAAGCCTCTTATCCATGAATGTAGGAGTTCAAGAAGAAGAAAATTTTGGGACAACTGTTTCAAAGGAAGAAGGATGGAAGGGAAGTGATAGTACTGAAACTAGGAGAGTGCCATTTAAACTGAACCATGAGAAGATTTCTCAAGATTATAGACTTTCTAACTTTGACATGAAACTGGACCTTAATTCCCATGATGACAATGATGCTTCTTCCCACTGCCAACAGTTTGATTTGAATGGTTTCAGCTGGAATTGCTAGGACTTATAGTAAGTAAATTTGGAGATGAAAGGTAAGAAGGATTCATGTTGAGTTCCTACTCCATGAGTTTCACATTAGAGAACATTTTTGGGGAGTAACTTGCATCTAGTTTTTGGCACATGCCAATTACAACCCATTGACAATAACTAAGCTAAGCAGAATAAATTGCTCCATACAATAACTGCTTTTGAAATTACTTATGTACAATACCTCAAACAAAAATGAGAAGATTATATACTATGACTCTTTAAATGTATGATGTTAATTTAAGTGATAAAATGTTGTTCAAACTAGACTTAAATTTTTGGTGCCTTAAAATATATCATAATTTAATTTTAATCTTTATAATTTTTTTTTTTATTTTAGTTCTTATATTTTTTAAAATGATTGCTTTTAATCTTTTGTTATTAGTGCAAATTTATAAAAAAGCAACATTTAACAATATTTAAGTTAATCATATCATCGTTTAACAAAAAATATAGACCAAAATTAATAATTTAAAAAATAAAAATATTAAAACAAAAATAATACTATTTTTGTTTTTGTTAATAAACAGAGCTTAAAAATTCAAAAATAGACAAAAACCTAGATAAAAAAACTTAGGATACCAAGATTCAAGAGCATCCGAATTAAGAAAAGAAAATAAGAAGGAGGAAGCCTTATCAAAACATAAAAAAGGTAGCTCACACTTAACCCCAATTTAACAAGTCAATCAGCACTTTGATTGACCTTTCTCAGGACTATGACTAAATCTAATAAAACTGATACATTTGACTAAATTCCTAATCTTACTAATTATAAAGAATAATGGGTGATTACAATTAAGAAAATTAACAATTAAATTAATGTCCTCCTTAGAATCACATTCAACTCAAATTGAGTGAAACTTTTTCAAAATGACAAGCTTAAGACTCCAAAAGACTTCCTAAATTTAAGCAAGCAAAGGGGAGTAATAATTCAAAATGTTTCTCTAATGAGGCCACCACGTAACATCCTAAAATTTTAGTTTTAAAACTGCTTATTTTATTTGTACAGACTCGAAATGAAATAAGAATTTGTATATATGACAAGCATTATAAATATGAGTAAATAAAATATCTTTTTGTGAATAAGATTATTTTCAAAATTTGCCAATCAAGAAATATTAATTAAATAATAGTAAATTTAAAGATTTAAATGAACCAAGAATAAATTTTCTAATCTGGATACTGAACATGCATTACATATATCAATTATAAAAATTTACAAACTGTTTATCAAAATATGAGACTAGGGTTGGCCTTCTAAGATAGTCATGATTATGGTATGTAAATAGATACGTGAAGGCTATTGAGATCCTACTCTATAGATATATATACATAGAGTATGGTGTATCCTACTTTTAGGAAAATCAAAAGGGATACTATAATATAATTCCATCTCTAACATGATAATAATTCTAGGTAAATCATCAACATGTATGGCTAACTTAAAGTGGCATGTCCTCTGGTACTCATTAAATACATAATTAAGTCTATTATGTACATAATTGTCTATTAACCTAATTCTTTCTTGAGGTGTCATCATCCTGGTTCCATGAAAATTTTAGTAAGGATGAGCGTCTATTCTATCATTATAAATCATTACATCACAAAGATCACAATTATAATACAAAGAAAACATATTCATTTCCACAACCAATTCACATTGCCAACATAATCACATATACACACTCAATAATTTGTTATAAGTTATTTAGTTTTCTCCTTCCAATACGCACCCCCAGTGCATTGTGATCACAGACAACGATGCCTCTGACATTTCTTGAGGTCTTACTCAACTAGGTAAATAGTCGTCAGTTAGCCCATGCATACGGATACAACGTATACAATAATGCGCTCCATAACAAAGATATAGTCAAGAGTCTAGTCAGAAAATGAGTGTAAGGCCATGTGGCGCATTCACTCTCAAAAAGAGTGTGTACACATACACTAATGTAGCTCACCACCCTACATCTCCCCCAGATTTCCATTATCTCCAGACTCTATTACCCCAATGTATCTCTGTAACTATTCACACTAGATCCATTCTATAGTCATTCCCAAAATCATTCCCTTCTCCACTCATAAGATTATGCTTAGTAAAGTACTTCTGGACAAAGTCCACTTCACTAACACCATCAGAATATAATTTCAATTATTAAGTCTTTCAACTCAACATCATGCTTTTTCACAGCCTCATATACATATCTCGATAATAGTCTATACTTTTTAACTCATAATTGCTATATCATACCATAAAAGCTCAGCATGTTTTAATAACATTCCACATTAAGTACTTATCATATATTTCATGTGAACATATCACAGCCATTCAATCCAAAAAACCAAGCATGCATATTTAGCTATCATTCATACATAATATATTTCAAACACACATAGAATTGTCTTACCTGAGCAAGATCTCTTACACTAGACTTCTACTAAACACCCTTTTAATCATTCCAATACACTCTAACACCGTATCATACCTTAACAATTATCAATTTATTAAATAATTGGAAAAAGAAGGTGTTACACACCACAACTAGTAAAGCCAGAGAAAAAAGAAATAGCTTCATCCACATTAAGTTTGAGTTAGAGAATTAAAAGGAGGCATTCATCTAGCAAGCTCTAGACTTCCTATTACTTATTCAAAATATAACAATATTTTTGTGTAAAATTACTAACTAGCAAGTGTACTAGGTAATTGTAGCAAGTAATAAAATTTGAAAATCAATATGAGTCCCAAGTATCATCCACAAGGATCTTATTTTTAATTACTACTTCACAAATTGAGAATTAGTTGAACCACACAATTTATTTGAAAGATTTGTAACCTGTAAAAGATGAGAAATAAGAACAATAAAAGGTAATAAAATGTTGTAAAACAGAATACGAATTTTATATTGAAAATACTATGTGAAAAATAGTTAGGAATCACTTCACCAGATTTTCAATTGCAATATAATTATGTTCTGAACTCTTAAGAATTCTAATTGATTGATGTAACACCTTCAATTTTGTCTTTCAAAATAAATAAATTTATAACGAATAAACAAAAATAGATAAAAAAAAAAGTTTGTTCTTATTCATGGATTTGAGAATTTCATAAAATCAAGACTTACACTTTCTTCTCATGAAAGTTTCATAGAATTCTAAAATGTTTAGGATTTTCTAAGGGAATGATCTGAAGCTTTAAAGGTAATAAATAAAATTTAAGTTTACATCTAGAATTTATTTGGTTTATATTAGATATATACAAATTTAGAATTTCCACTAAGAACATTTTTAAAATATTCATTACAATAAAATTGGCCCAAGTATCATAAATTCTAAATCCGACATTTAAAATCATTGCTAAATTTACTCATCACGAAATACAGTTAAGATAAAATAATACAATTTTTCAAATGGTCCTAGTCCCTACTGAGCAGTCTTCCTTCCAACACCCTTGAATTATGATCTTAGAACGGACCCAACACCTTTATCTCTTCACTTTTATCACCTGAAAATATTAGTAAGGGTGAGTATCTCCTACCCCACTAAATCTCTCGTTAACATAAGTAAGATAATTATATTTTTATATATAAATGCTAGAAGTATTATTTAACATGGATTTGTATTAACAATAACACTCAAATCATCCAAATTGCCATCACAAAAGAGCACACAGGACAAACAATCAATCATGTTCACCACTGTTACAAAGTTGAGAGAACACTAACTAGCAAGTGTACTAGGTAGTTGTAGCAAGTAATAAAATTTGGAATTCAGTTTGAGTTCCAAGTATTATCCTGAGAGATTAGTTTTATCAATTACCACTTCACAAATCCATAACTAGTTGAGCTAAACAAATTTTGGAGTGTTTTGAATCATTTAAGAACAAAAGCAATAAACTACAGAAATTAGAAAATAACAGCAAAATAGAGTGACTAATTTAGAAATGAATTGATGTGTGAATGGAGTTAGGACTGATTTCACCTCTTTATCAATTGCAAAACTGAAGTAGATCTGAACTCTAAGTTCCTTAATTGGTTGATAATCAATTTCACTAGATTAATCAAAGTTCAATTCTTTGACTCATTGATCCTAATATTCAATTAACTACCCTAATTCCTTAGGTGTAAATCAATCAAACATTGCATTAGGCGTTGGAAATTAAGAGATCACAAGATCACAAATTCTTGTCCCTAAGATATCCATAACCTTGACATTCAATTCAGATATGAGAAATTAACTCAACTTCCATTGATGAAAATCCTCTAGGCTCAATTCAATTGAATAGTTAATTCAAGAATTGCATTAAGGAAAGAATTAAACATTCAATACAATCAAGATCTTAAAATCTGGATCCATAATCAATTTACAATATCAAAATCGGATCCATCAATCAATAACAAAAAGAAATCAGAACATGTTCATAGAAGAAAAAGAGAGAGAAAGAATAGAAGAAGAGGAGTTGCAGAATTTCTTCATAAATCCAATCCCCAGCCTGATTTCTCAAGGTACAGAGCTTGGAAGTCGCCCCTAATCTCCCTCTCTAACTCTTCTAAGGTGTGAAAATGAAAAATTTAGAAAAAGATCCCGAGTTTCTGGGCTAATCTCTTATTTATAGAATTTCTCGCCTTTCTGGCGTGATCACTATTTTTCATAAAAGTAGCAATGCAGAGGTTTGTGATCTGCGCGTGTTCACTTTCGTGAACAATAGGAGTCACTCATAGCTTGCTCTGCTAGAGGGCTCTCTGGAACGATCACTTTTGTAAACAAAAGTGATCACGTGCAGCTTGCTTTGCTAGAGGCTTCTCTGGAATGATCACTATCATTAGCAATAGTGATAACGTGAGCTCTCTTCTTCATGAGCGTTGTCACTTTTGTGAGAAAAAGTGATAACACACAGGTCGACCTTCAATATTAGGCTCTGGAACAATCACTTTTGTAAGGAAAAGTGGTCATGCCCAGCTCTTGCTTCACCAAACCTTGTTCCTTGATTCTAATTTTGCTATTTTCTTCTACTTTCTCTCTTGATCCTCCAACCTTATGATCTTAGCTCAGAGTTTCCTGCAAAACTAACAAAATTACATCAAAATTCTATCAAATTCACATAATTTGAATTATTAAAGACAACAATTTACTTTATTGAACATTTATATATCTTTGTA